CACGAGGATGGACCGGAAGCTGGTCGTCACCCTTGCGTTGCAGGGGGGGGGGGGGGGGGGGTCATTCGTTCGTTGCCTCGCTTGATCATTTCTTGACCAAAACGATGAAGGACTACCACTGCCCACGGATCCCTTCCGAGGCGGAGCAGCCCGCCCCCGCTGCTGTCGCCGATAGACATGGGGACCAAGACACGACAACATGACGCGCAATAACAAGGAGCATCCATCCTATACGACACCAACGGGAGAGCTGTAAGCAACAACATACGTAGAATACTTGTTTGTCACAGAGAGAACATACATGGCATACGCACTTGTTGTCACGGAGAATTAAGAGGGAAACAACACGATAATTAAGAGGGGGCGGGTGGCGAAGTAAACAAAAGAACGAGTCCACGCCAGAATAATCGAGCCTTGCCAAACGTTGGTGTCACTGCTGCTGTAACAACGGCGATTTAGAGAAAAGGGGAACACCCGGGGCAGCAGGGGGAGCGCACGCAGCGGCTGTTACGTATTGTATTGTATTGTATGCGTTAGATAGATGTTTTGTATGCGTCTGGCAGGGATTGCATACGGCGCAAATGGCATCTAAATACGATAGTTGAAAAAATATACCAGTAGTCCAGTAGTCTAGACTATAGTCTGTAAATCCTGATGCAATATTAATGGAGGTCTGAACGGTGTTGCGCGGCGGTGTTACTGCAAAAGGACGACGACATACTACCACGCACGTAAGTCTGCTGCTGCATGACCTTTCAGAGAACGGAACAGGATGTCGAAAAAAGCCGGTATCTACCGGACCGACGACCGGTAGATATTTCGCCGTGTTCGCACAAGGCTGCAGGGCCCACGGATTCATCCCACATGGTTGCTGTGAGAGCACGTGGCCTCTTCGTCATTCGACATGGACGTCGTTTACGGAGATGTGGCAAGGAGGCAGCAGACATAGACATTGTCTATCATTATCTGCTGTTGACATACGATATAAAAAGAAGGGATGGATATTTGTACGGTACACGTTCGTATGTCTAATATAGTGCATGGTGTGTCTGTCGTGCGGTGTGTTCAGCACTCCTTCTTCGGGGTATCTTTCCATCTTGTCTGTTCCGTCCGATTTAGGCTGTCTCAGCGCATGGGCTGGCAGGCGCTGCTGCTGTAGTCTATGCATAGCTAATATACAACAGCAGAAAGGGTTTGTTTGGTGTCTTCGATACAGACGCATGTACCCAACCTATCTCTCTCCCCCTCTCCCTCTCCCTTGTGGGCTTTGGACTCATCGGGCGGATTGACTCTCCCCCCCCCCCCCCGAAAAGAGTCGTCCTCCGGTACGCAGACAAATAACGCTGCCGAGTTTCGCGGCCTTCTCCAAGAAAAAAAAGCACCCACAGAAAACACAGAAACGTGTCGTCCGCACAGCAGTTTGCTTAACTCACATTCACACACACAAATATGCCCCTTCCGTCATTTTTTCAGCAGCAGCACCGCGCTAAATAGTAAAGGGGCAGTGGCATTGCACGGATGGTTCCGCCGTGTACAGCAGTAGTAGTAGTAAAGCTTCGAATCCAAGCATCACGGTTTATCTATCTATCTCGACATGATACGTTTCCTTGGGGGAGCATTACAGGCATTGTAGACGCACGCAAATGGTGCGGAGATGTGTCTACAGAACGGAGCAACACCGCAGGCAGCAACTCACCACACGGCGGCTGCAAATCGAAGTTATTTTGTTACTTTCTGGTTTTGTACGTCTCTACATATTATATTACACCCATAAACCTAAAACCTGCCTCAACGCACAAAAGCACTCTCTCACCAATGACGACTGCTTGCCAGGCCAGCGCGCGCCCGCCTCCCCCGCCTTCGCACCAGCCTCCCCCCCCGGCCTCTGCTGCTGATGCGGGACGAAATTCGCAACGCTCTCGCTTTTCCGATGACCAGGATGCCGTGATCTCTCCGCGGTTGCCTTGACATCCGACGGCAGCACCCGCACGGACCCGGCGTCCTCCAAACGCCGCGGCGTGTCGTGGGGCCAGCGGATCACCGCGGCGGAGGCGGCCCCGCTGCCGGTGAATTCGTCGCCGCTGCTGTCCTCGTCGCTGTAGTGCACGTTGCTCTCTGCGCCGGGGCCGCAGCATACTAGCCTCGAGAACAGGTGCATGTTTCTTTTTGATGCTGCCAAGTGTCTTTCTTTTGCTTCTGCTTTCGTCGGCTTGGGTCGAGCCGTCGAGCCCAACAAGTATCTAACCGAAACCCGCCGGCCGTCCTCTACTCTGTCCTTGTCAGTAGAGCGTCGCCAAAAATGGGAAAAGTGCCTCGTTGACGCGAAACCACAAGCCGGTGATAGTTGCACTGGTTGGGTATGGGATAGCCAGAGGGACGTCGCCTTAGAACGAAGCTGAGCTGGGCACAAGAGATATATGTAAGTCTGTCTGCTGTGCCGGGACGCAGCAAAGAATATGACTCTTATAAAACCATAGGCAACGCACTCCGACAAATTCCTATAGGAAAGCAGTTCACCATGCTCGGGGAAGAATTAGGCTCTTTCGGGTCTGAAAAACCGCCGCGAGAATGCGTGGAAACCCCCCGAGTGCACCCCATAAAGGCGAGCAATACGGTCTATCAGGAGGCGGTAGTTGCTCGTCAGTGTGCAAGAACGCCAGTCCATATATCTACCAACACAGTACAAGAGGAACGGGCTCAATCGGTAGCAGGTGCGTTGAGAAAACATGAAAACAATTTCCACCGCTTCAATTAGGGGGTAGGCAGCAGCAGCGAGTTGACTGGTTCCATGGCCGCCGTTCTCGACTTCCAGGGTGAACGGTACGCAGCGGTCAGTACACGCGGGTAGCCTTACAGGTGTTCTCTGAGCCTGCAAAGTTTCGTGGGAAACGATGAGCAGTTCGGTTGGTTAGGGAGGAAAATGTGGCTGATTTTGTTCAAATTGACCCGCCGCTTCAAGTCACCGCAGCATTCAGCAGCAGCGAGTTGACTGGTTCCATGGCCGCTGCTCTCGACTTCTAGGACCAACCGTACACAGCGGTTGGTACAGATGGGCAGCAATACAAGCGTTCTCTGATATCGCAAAATGTCGCGGAAAACGATGAGCACTTCGGTTGGTTAGGGTTAGAAACGTGGCTGTTTTTGGGAGTATTGACCCGCCGCTTCAAGTCACAGCAGCAGCAGGCAACAGCGAGTTGGGTTAGTCAATGGCTGCCGCTCTCGACTTCGAGGGCACACGGCACGCAGCGGTTGGTACAGATGGGCAGCCATACAAGTGTCCTTTGATATCGCAAAGTGTCGCGTAAAACAATGAGTACTTCGTTTGGAACTGGGGGGAAACGTGGCTGATTTTGTTCAGAGTCGGCGGTGTATCCTGGCATGCCACTTTGGCACATGCGTTGTGCTTTCATCACTGCTGTGCCAGCCTCTCTTCGTTGTGCGTTGATAGTTAGCGTTTGACGATCATGAAAACAAGTTACTGTTTCCTTTCCTCACGCGGTTACATGTATTACGCCTGCGGGTTGCTGACTCGACGAACCGCAGCAGCAGCAGCAGCAGCAGCAGCAGTACAGCCGTACGGATGTGTTGCTTCCTTGCCCCACGAGCCCCGGCTGCTCTATGTGGCCCCAGTCAATATCCTTCCTTCGGTTGCAACAAAAATGTAAAATGGAGTCCCATGCCTCTCTCTCCATCGACGTACATTCTTCAAAACAGAGCAATAGGTGGATAGCCCTTCTCGAGAGTGATGGACGGCCTGCGCGAGATGGCGGGGGGGCAGGGCTGGCATGGGTCTGGAGAGGACGGCATGAGCAATCCCGCGCCCGTGCCTCGCCTTCGCCCATTTCCCGTCGGAGAGGTATGCATTTTAGACGGGTAGGGTTTGCGTTGATAACATTGTAGAGGCGTGTGACGTGTTCGTGTAAGCTGTTGGCGACACAATGCATAAAGTTTTGCCCATGGTTGGAACGTATGGTTGGTGTCGAAGCTTCGCTTGAACATATTTGGCCATGCCTTTGTATCCCATAAATGCGGTCGCGCAGGAAGCAGTGACCGGAGGGGAAGAAGAGGCGAAAGAATCCAACAGTCCCCGGGAAGATAGAAACGACGGAGACTCGAGTAGAGGTGAGGCAACACGTTTTTTTTTGGGAAGTGTGCTGGCCTTGCCGATCTCTTCGGCGGACGCGGCCGCCGCCATTGAACGCAAGTTGTTCCCCGATAGTGTCGGCATCATGAATTCGTGCAGACCAATAATGCCATGTCGTTGGGTTGGACATCCCTTACGCTCTCTCAGTGGTTGTGCGCCGGTATTCATCTTCAGACTAAAGATTCGGAAATTCCAACAATCAACGACCCCAGGCTGCTACAATACCATCGAAGCATAACTTCGTAATATCCGCAGCGATGCTCGGGCTTGCGCGGTTATCACCACCTGGGAATATTTATGAACGTATTAGAGTTCTCCCGATATCGTTCGAAACGTGTGTCGACGACCCCCCCCCCCCGCCCCTTGACCACTGACATTTGCACGCAGACATGGTTGATCAAGACGAAGAAGACGACGAGGAGATGGAGGAACTTATCCGGGCGGTCACCGGGGTCGAGGGGATAGACGACGACGACGAGGGCGCAGATAACGAAGGAGGAGAGCCTCGTGTTTCAGAAGACGACCAGAAGGTGAGGTAGTGTGTTCTTGTCGTCTCGGTTCCCACTGCTGTTGCCTCGCCATTCCCTTTGGCGAACTTGTGTCTTAGGAAACTAGTTCTCACTCCAATGTATGTTAACGTCTCCATTTCGGTTGCGTGTTTCCGCGCGGCAGACCTACGAATCTCTGACCAAGACCATCATAGATAGACTTCCCAGGAGCGGGGTGGCGGAGTTGGTGGGGAAATCGGTCAAAGATGGTTGGCTGGGGCAAAGGGATCACATGAAAGGAGTAGTCGTGAAAGTGCTCGAGGTGGAGGCTGTGTGTTCCGCGATTCGTCGATGGTGGGATTTCCTCGTTGCATTGCTGGTGGAAAATTCCAAGAAGCCGTTTTCGTCGGCTCTCGCACTGGAGTACGAGAAGGCACGGAGGAAAAAGCGTTTTGATGCGCAACGTGAATTCAGCCACGAGCCGACTATCAGAGACGCGGCGATCAAATCGGGTCTGGAAGAGCGGCGTGTCACCCACGCCCTCACTTCCGTCTTCTACGCCATCGACCAGGTCAGTCAAAGATCATGCGTGCTTCGGACCCAGGTGTCTAGTGAAGACGAAGACTGCGTGTTCGTGTGCGTGAATATTGACATCAATCGATGGAAATACGCCGGTCTCAGACACAAAAGTTTTTAAGGCCGTGATCTGGTCTCCCGTGTGTAAGAGTGTACGTTTGTGTGTATGTTGATCGTGGAGTGTAAGTCTGTCATCTTGCTAACCCTTGCATCCACCGTGATTATTTTTCCAACAGGGTGTTGACAAGACCATCACGCAAAAACTGACTGAGGCTCATCTCGTCAATGTGACGTATCCTGCCGGCGACATTGACCTGGACGTCCATCAACGGCGTCTTGTGTACAACATAGGGGGTTGGCTGTTAAGTAGCGCTCTTTCACGCGTTAAGAGGCAGCCCCGTCTTGGCAGAGCGTTCTTGCCCTTTGTCAACAGCCACAAATTCAAATCCGCAAAGGATTTCCGGAGTGCCAATCCCGAGTTTCAAGGTTTGGAATTCGAGGTCGATCAGAGAAACGTTCAGTATGAAGGGAAGGGTCTCATTTTTCCCACGGCGGAGTTCTATCATTTCGTGCGTGCGCTTGAGGTTGGGTACAGATCGGCGATGCTAAACCCCGCCCTGTTGGCGACGTACCTCGGGGATTTACCAGCGGAAGTAAGGCGGGTGGTGTCCACGGCGGATCCCGTTAAGGCGGCATGGGCTAGGTGTGTGGGTCTGGTGAAGGACCCACACCTCGGCGCCGCTGGGCGGGAGGGTTGCGTAAAGCAATGCGACGAGCTGTTCGATTTCATGATGACAAAGTGGCACAATTGCCGCTTTTTCTCCTTCACAAAAGGACTGACAAGCTTGAAGAAGACGTTGAAAAACAGGAAAGCACAAATGGCCCTGAGAGATCACTTGAAGGCGGGGGTTGGCGGGGGTAAGGGCGGTGGTCGTGCTCCTGCACCAAGGGCGGCAAAGTCCAAGGAGCCCAAGGTGTACACCACTGAACAGAGAGCGCGACAGTTGCAGCTCAATGAAATTATCGGGGTTGATGCATGGCGGAGTCTAACGTGTGACCACCTCAAAGAGTACATCAGAGAATGCGGCGGTACGGTGCCGAACCCACCCCATAAGGCCGAACTCCAGAAAGCGTTGCGCAAGCTCGCACCACGAGCGGGGGTAGACAGCGACCCTAGCCTGGCAGCTCTTCGGCCGTCGATTATCGTTCCGGATAACTGGTATGGATGAGTACAATCTGTGTTACCGATGGAGGGGGTTAGGGGGGGGTTAACGTGGGTTGGGGGAAGTCCCCGACACTCCTTCTCAGCAGGGAATGTTGTCGTTGTTGTTGGTGTCTTTATATAAAAAAATGTTCTTGTCTCTTTGCCCGGTACATTCATCTGTAGAATACCATAGGCTACGCTGACCTAACACTCGTGTTGACGCGGTCAAGCCCCGCTACGCACGCTTGCTTTTGGCCGAAAAAAAGTGCATGTCCTCAAAATGTTCCTGAAGGGTATGCAAGGCAACAAGGTCTGGAGCCCTCAGCTCTCTCATATACACGTGATGTGACGTTGAGACCGGTTAGGGGTAAATGTTAAAAACCCCACACTGCACGCGGAGTGCTTCGTGGGACTTTTCGACGGTCAGCCTGAGTCGGCAAAACAATATAGTCCTGCCCACCTAACAAAGTCGCGGACTACTTTCCAGGAGAGGAAATTGGACCCATGCTACCGACGTACTCCCGGGATTCCAGCTGGATAACTACATATGGAAGAGAGAGGTTTGCGTTGAAAAAATATACTACACAAGAAAGGAGGAGAACATCACCAACGAAAACTAAAAGTGGTATATCTTGAAGCAACACAGGCAAGCGAACCAGCTCACGAAATATTAACACCTACGTCAGGCTGTAATTACATCTACCTTACCAACGCCGGTGTCAGATACAAGCACTTACGAAACTCCCGCTGTTCCCTGACCGTGAAAAAAAAAAAAAACATGCACCCGTACAGGTGCATGATACAAGGCTCATGCATCTACGTAAGCGTGCTCGTTCGAGACCTTTCCGACTAAACCCAGCACAACGCGCAGCCACCCGCACACCGAGCACTGCGGGTCTCCAACACGTGGTCAGCATCGTCGCGCGTGGCGGCTCTCACTACTTCTTCCCGCTCGGGGGCGTTTACAGGCAATGCTAATCGCATAGACTGGACGCGCCCTTGTATCTCGAACGGCTTCCCCGCCGATCTCGACGCATTGCGACGCCTTCCGCCGTGAGACAACCGAATCGTGTCTCCGTGCCTTCCAGCTTCGATCGCCTGAACCGATGTGGGGGCCTTGTGCGTCCCCATCCCCGCCCGAATGTGCGCGAACCTGTGCTCGAGAATATCCTGCATACGGTACAGACGGCAAACATCGCAGCGTAGGTAGTCGTGGGCATGGGGGAAAAAAAAGGTTAGCGACTTGACTTCACAGCCACGATGATTGCGTCGCATCCTGAAAAACAAATCCAACGAGCACATGCTCACATGTAGACCCAACATAAAAAAGTCAAGAAGCACACCGGGTGCATGTCACCAGCATACATAATACCCACCGCCGTGCCGTCAATGTCAACACGATGAACAGACCAGGAGATACGACAAAAGAGACCACCTCACCTGGCTGAACATTCGCGGATACAGGAAGCGGCCAGCACCCCCGTCCTTCCCCTTCACGAGGTCCTCGTCCGCGAAGACGTACCGTGACAGTGCCACGAAGCCAAGAATTGTCGTGCGCATGTCAAACCACGACATGTCGGTGATGAAGTGATTCGGCCACTCCCGTTTGTCGAACGAAGCTTGGAGGGATATTTGCCAGCTGCTGAAGAAATCCAGGATTTCAAGCAGCCTCTCCAGCTGAGGACTATCGGCTCCCGTGATCCACCCCTTCTTCTTGTTCTCCCCTTTCTTGAGCTCGACAGTGGAAACACCGTAAACACCTGATCACCGTAACGCGAGGTCACCCGAGGAAATATGTAAGGCCCCGAAGCATTAATGAGGGTGACATGCTCCAAGCTTATACAGTCCGGGGTCGCACTTTTACTTGTTGACAGCACACATCGAAAATATTATCCCGCGAAGGTCACACAATCGGTCTTGTGTCCCGAAACATACCAACAAAAACCAAAGTAACACAAAACAGCAACCACCCCGCTCCCTCATCTCATAACACACCGTTCATGATGTCGAGGAAGTCGTTCATCACGTACGCCAGCTCAGCATAGGTCTCTATTTCTCCAGATGGCGGTTGGTTGTTGGCCTCCAGCTTCCCCATTGCGCTGTGACAGATACGACAGGCGGATCGAGACACGCACTGCGAAAGCACAGGGAAGGTAGACCTCGCTTAGAGGTGGCGATGTCGACATGGTACCTATCGCCTATCGAAATGTTGCTATCGGCTCACGGGGAAGACGGAAACACGACGCATAAATTTCGAAACCGTATGCGATCTCCAAATTAAACTGCTCCGCTCAATCCGTCCAGACAAAGACACCCCCCCCCCCCTAAGCAGCGGCAAGGTTAACAGACGAAGAGGCGAGCAACGCGTTCGGGTGGCACCTCTCATACCTTGGCCGAGAGCCCCACGCTCATGCAGTTGTGGCTGTTCCTGGTGAACATCTCGGGGTCGAACTTCAAGAAGCGGATGAGGTGGGCAGCCTGTTCTGCCACAGAACGAACCCCTCCGCCTGCCTCCTCCTCTTTCCACACCTTCTCCAGCGTCTTGAGAGAGAACGACACCCATTCGTAGTCCTCTGCTGCCTCGTTGTACCAAAGCTTCTTGAGGTCACGTTGCTTGCTCGGGATGTCGCTGTGCCAGAGGGCGTTCACGACCTTCTTCAGGAGGTGTACTGGATCGGACATGTTGAACACGGGCCCGCCGTGGCTAGGATGTTTGAAGGCTACCTTGAAGTCCCCCATCCGCTTCTCGAACGCCGAGTCTCCGCGTGCCCACTCGGAGAATGCTATCTCCGCTAGATACTTCTGGAACGACCGGCTGAGCGCGGGAAAGAAAGCACAGCGTCGAGACAAACAACGGTGGTGTGTGGATGTGGCGAGGGCGGACGTGTTCGGTGTGAGCGATGGTCGTGTGCATCGGGCGTGTCATAAGGTCAAAGGTCAACGTGGTCGGTCGGACACCAAAATCTTACGACTCGCTTGGCGACTTACTGCTCAGCTGCTCCGTCGCAAACGGTGCCGATGACGTCGAAGTTCTTGTCACTGTGCGCCTGGTACAAGCTGGTCATGATATCATCTAACATCCGCGCGAGCTTGGGCCCGGTCAACCCCCTCACAGCTTCCCGGAAGACGCAGAACTTGTACGTCGGATTACCCAAGCTAACCCAGAAGACCTGAACAACTCAGCCAACTCACATCGGACAGGGCCGTCAGACATTTGCCGATTGCCGTTCGGCTTCCCGTAAAAGACTGGTCCCTCGGCCCGTCGCTTGACCACCACCGCGTCATCAGACTATGGAAGTCGTTTGTCACAAGTGTAAGCGTGCCCACGTGCCGCTCGAATTGGTCGAGGAACACGTACACCGGCAGCTTCGAGTGAGCATCTCCCTCCCTGGTCTCCTCGTATCCACGAGGGTATCCGAGCCTCTCTCCCTGCAGACGAGATAACACATGCAATTATACATAAGAATACTCAGGTCTACAAATTTGGAGGTAGGGCGGCCACCGGTTTCACATGTTAGGGGGGAAACTACAAGCTACAAATCGTTATGTACACCATCAAAAGGCGCTCGGTCTGGAACAAAACAGAAGCGTTGAGTGGTGACTTTGACTATCGCACCTTTGTGGTATCGGATGAGGATTCCGGAGGTTGGTTGTCAACGACGGCCCGTGCTGCCTGTCCGGAGGATCGACGCTTACTCCTCGTGGCCCTGCCCTTCTTCGTGGAGGATGACGGGGTCGGGGCACGCCGAGACCCCAGGACAGAGCGCTGCGGCGTGGAGGGTGGCTCCATCTTGAGACCTGGCTCGGGCGCGTGGACAAGACGACCGAAAAAAAATGTTGAGGTTTGCGACACCCACTAGCTAACCCGACCCAAGACGGAGTGACTACAACGCATTGCCCAATTCCCTAACTGAGTACCATGTACGTACACAAATCAGCGTGGCGAAACGATCGCACTCCCAAGTAGTGATGTTTGACCGAGCGTGCCCAGAGCGAAAAAATGCACGAACGGACTAGCGTTCGTGATAAACAAGGGGGGCGAGGAGTACAGTCGGCCTCTAAAATATATGGACTCGACAGCAACTATTGTAGCGCAGATATTCCCAACAACGACCCTAGCGGTACTCTGTAACTCCACGCCATCTCCCATGCCGTGGAGAAATCGTGCCGTGGAGCAATCGATCGACCGCAAGCCATTACAAATTAAAAAAAATATGACACACGTTTTTGGGTGGAGCTGAAAGATTCCCCTAACCCTAGCTAGTATTCTAGAACGGGAGCATGTGTTCAGATCAAAAGTAAGCTGCAGTTGTTACAGCATAACAGGTAGCCCTACGCGCCAACACCACACAGCCGGAGCAATGACGTGTATTCACGGATCACTCGTGTCCTATGTAGTGTGTGTGTCTGCCAGCTTCTTGGGGTCGTGCCAGGAACATTCAAATCAACATCATAGATCGCTACAGCAGCTAATAACTTACGAAATCTCTGGACAGAGGGCGATCGAACGGTGCTTTTACTACGTATGTGCGAACGTAAAACCTTCACCAGGATACGCATTGCTCTGTACTAATGCAACTTTGTATGCATGTATGCATAGGTGCGCGTAAGGAGGAGTTGGGATGGAGGTCCTAACCCTTGACAAAAATCTTTGATTATTTGGGTCGGGTCTGGCGCGTTTGCTGGGGTCGTGATGGAATAGGCGGCCCCCACTCGGCCGATACTCAGCGTTTTACCAATCACTAACTTCAGATAAGCTCGGCCAGGCAGTCTGTGAACACGTTCAAGGTCTCCACTCACCCTGAGTCGCACGAACGACCTAAAACCGGTGTGATGCATCCGATCACGCGTTCAAACCGGTGTGGCACATGCTCAGAGTTCATCCGCGGGAGTAGGGTTGGTGTGGAGAGAAGACACCGCCATGAAATCAATACTCCATCTTTTACCAAACCGAAACTTGGCCTCGATTCCTACATGAACACAGCAAAGCTCTGTCCGATGCGCTGCGTACCGTTTGCCCTACAAGTCGAGCTAATCACCCTCAAGTGGGCCGGGGTCTTGGCACAGATGCCTTGGCAACGCAGGGTGACAACTTCAAAATAGTCGATTTCTCTCCCCACCTCACCTTTTCCAGCCCAAAAAGCTAAGCACAGCAGGAGTATGAGTAGCTTCATCGATTTCCCATGCTGGCGCCTTAGGCAAGTGGCTACGGCGCGAGAGGGGTTGACCTGTTTGGGGGTGCTCGGGGGTACATCCTGCTGGGGGGTACGCGGATGATATTTCTCCCAGATTCCCCGAGCATGGTGAACATCCCCGGTCATCCCCTCCCCGGAGTGCGTTGCCTATGGTTTTATAAGAGTCATATTCTTTGGGACGCAGCGCTCAGCCAAGGGGACTCCGCAAATGGTACTTTCGGATCAATCCCAGTACTTCAGTACTTCCCTCTAGGCTGTGTGCATGTGTGGGGAGAGCTACTGCCGTGCTCATCATCACTTGTTGCACTGGGTCTCTCGTTGCTGTTGTAGGATGCGTTGCCCTGCTGTAGTGCTCGTCGTCGCCTCCGCTGCCCTTCCGTGCGCGAGGGGGTTCCTGCGGCCGAGTGTCGTCCCCAGGAGGCGTGCTGCTGGAACCGACGCCAGCGGCGGCTCCGGCGACATCATGACTTGCAGCCGGAGGAGCCACACCGGAGGAGCTGCTGCTGCTGCTGTTGGCCGGCGGGGCCTGTTCATGATGGCGGAAGGGAGACTCACGGTAAGAGACAGGGCGAAAGAGCGAAAGAGCGTGCACGCCGTTACCACCAGCCGGAGTAGTGTGCCGGTTTTTCGGTCTTGCTCGCAAACGCGCAAGGGACAAAATCCAGAAAAAGAGCGTCGGTTCCTCGTGCATGCATGAAGTTGACACGATCTCAGATAACAACACGCTGGCCGTCGGTTGCCCCGTGATCGCATTCTGGGTTAACGTCCATACTCTCTACTGATAGCGATTTTGATGGCCAAAAGTATTTCATGGTTGTTGGTCGACCATCGCTTGCTTGCTCTAATATCTACAATGCGGGCATTTTTTACTCCAAAATTTGATAGGGTTGAACAAGAACTGACAATGTATGTGCATGTTTTTTTCAATTTCAAGCCGGTGTGCAATGTACTGCTGTACACGGACTGCGAAGGGCGCAAAGATATCAGGGGTGCTTCACACAGAATCTGCTAGGGCCACGTACCCGGGAGACATCAGCATGTCGTTGGCTGAGTGAAACGTCTGTTCACCTAGTATTTGCGCAATGCCTACAAAGTTGTAGACATTGTACCAGTCTACAGCAGTAACACCACTCCTTGATGAAACTCAAGCCAAGCGCGGACGGAGGGCGAGGAGGGCAAGGGAGGACGCAGGCAACTCTGTTTCCGCGGTATTTTGTGGAGCAAGTACATAGTGTTTGCATGCTGTGCACTCCTGTAGTCGTTGAAGTAACACGCATGGTATTTGGAGCTTGGGCATCACCTCATTGGCACTACAACAAGTAGGCCACTGCTTAGAAAGTCTAATTTACCGTGCAGACGATTTTTTTTGTGTAGTCTACCAGAGGTACAACGGTACATCGTCGGCAAGGCCTTCGTGACCACGTAATGCAAGTGGCCGCACATGACCATTTGGTTCTAAATAGGTTTGACAATTCTAGGTCACCGATCGCTCTCTCTAGGCTCCCTGTCATTTCCTTGCGTCCCAGCGACACCTCTGGGCGCCTTTGATTCATACAGTACGCCTCCGTTTGACCACGGGGATGGTAAGCTATCGTCCCCGGCATCTCAAGGACGCTTCTCCGCGTCCAAGGGCACTTGAAAAACGAAATCTATGAATGTCCTCAACGCGTTCGTAGCTGACTGTAATTTTATACACACGTTGACCGGTGTCGTTGTCACCGCCTATTTCGTTTGTCGTTTTCTTGAACCTGTCTGGCCTCATGCGTCCATCCGCTGCTGCTGTTGCTGCAGCTGCTTCGTTCATATTGACTTGTCTACTGCAACGCGCCCACGCCGGTACATACTGCGATTGCGCTGCTGTGTGTTCGTCTTGCAGGATGGCGATCTGGACAACATCAGCCTTGACCCTTCCACCCTGGACGAGAGCGAGCTCCAGAGGGTCGAAGGGGTAAGCAAACAAACCCAGCAGAGAGAAAAACAAAGTGCGGAGAAATTTGGCAGGCGATTGTGTGTCCGTTGATATGTGTCCGTCTGAACCCTCGATGGGCGCCGAAACTTCAACTTTTGTCAAAATGCGGCGGCAAGCGCGTGCACGGCTTTTTGTTGGGGAGTGGGTGTGGATTTTGTTGTGGTCTGATCGTGTCAACGGGCTGGTCTGTGTGTCCCTAATGATGTGTGACCCTATTGCTTATGTGTACCCTTTCGCGCTCTCCTCGTGTTGGCTCGCCTCTCGGGATGCGACGTACGCGTGTGCGTGTTTCTGCCAACCATGCCCCCCCCCCCCCAGATCCGTGCGATCCAATCGAAAATGGTTCGAGGTCGACGAGAAAAAGCTGGAGCTGAGGAGAGCAGCGAGGAAACAGAAAGAAGCGGCGCAGGTACATACTCCATCTTCCCTTTGTAGCGAAAAGTTTTCCCACCGTTGTTCCTCCTCGCATCGCAAACGGCATCGTTGACAGGACCCGATGGTGCAGCACGCGATTTACGCTCTTGCTTAGCGATAGAACCGTACAAGGTGTAATTTTGGCATCCGGACGCACGTCCGATCCCTGGGCCGATTTTTTAAGAGTAGCAGTAGTTCCACCATCGATATCAACATATCAACCATCAGGCACCAACAGCGGAGGAAGACCGCGGCACCGATGTACGTAGATCTGTGCGTGGTTTCATCGAGACTCGGCGAAGACTTGAGCTGTGTTGGAGGTGTGCCGGAGGGGCGTTGAGTCAAAGAATTCAAGCAGCACATTTTCCATGATCATACCATTTGACTAGCAGCGTGGTTCGCCCACCCCACTACTGCTTGCTGCATACTGGTACTACGATATTGTCCTTTTTGCTTGTGAAAAGTGGTGCGGAACATGGTTGGTGTTATTGTGGAATCGAGGTGTTCCGTGCATGAGGGACCCCATGTACTTGTCTCATTGTTGCCGCGAACTCCCTCCCACAAATGGCTACGGCGTACATGCGGCATCCGGTAGATCTTCTGCCCCTCCCCGCCCCACGCAAAGACCGCCAGAGCAATGCTGAGCTTGCACGCTCGCACACTTTGACCCCCGCTTGCTTTGGTACAAACCTGCTTGGCAGACGGAAGCATACACGCCACGGCCGCACGCATGCCAATAATTATGACCCCGCCCCAACCAACCAAGACATGCAAAACATGAGTACGCCCCCCTACCCCCCCCCGGACCCTCCCCCCCCCACACACACCCCGCCCCACCGATGGATCCAAACGCCTTCCCAACAGGGTATGGGCGAAGGCGCCGCCGCTCTTAAGGCGTCTGCTGCTGGGGACGACGGAATGACCGCTGAGGAGAGGCAGCGAGCGGAAGGCGTGAGTGTTAGTGTTTGTTTACTCGGGAATCTTCTCGGCCGTATGCTTGTGCGCAGCGATTCGTCCGGTGTACTCTATAGCTCGCTTTCTCCACGACGAAGAGGATGCCGATATCGAAAAACAGCTCTCGACGAGACGGTTCCAACACTGCAATTTTCTGCACAGTCACCGCTTTTCTTGCCGAGTAATCGAGCTTTGAAAATCGGTCCAAGGGGGTGCGATATATTATGCAACGTACGGTACCACCGGAAGCTTCCCCCGGGAGTTGAATGACAGGACAGCAGTTTCTAGTTGTCGCACAAGGAGCAGCGATGTGTTTACGTAAGTACGTGCCCCGTGTGAAGTACCGTACGAGGCGGAGACATGGATTCCCCCCCCCAAGACCGATTTCCGTAGATGGATTGCTCAACAAAACAAGACCGTGCCAACACCAAAAACGGTGGGTTTAGAAACAACTCGTCGAGGGCTTTCCGTAGACGTATCGGTCTCTTTCCGCGCCCCCTTGGTTGTGGACCAATCGAGCTTTGAGAGTCGCTCTACATAGGGTGGGTGCCGTCTCTCCTCCTCTTACGGTAGTTCAGAATGAACGCGGGAGGGAGACTACTGGGGTGCTTCCATCTTTTTGGGGTTCACAACTGCTGTGGCACGGTATAAATCATCGCAAAGAACGCAGTGCCGTGTAAAAGCAGGAGTTAGCGACACCGATGGACATGTTGTGCATGATGACGCACACCACCAAAAACGCCACACTGCAACGCGATGATATTGATATCATTTTCGATCATGATTGTTGCAGTATTAACTGCGCATCATGATTTCCGACGGCTTCATTGCGTTGAATCTGCTGTGGCCTTTCTGGTTTTGTTCGTCATCATGTTACAACATGTCCATGTGTGACTTCCAAATTTCCCGCTCCTACGGCTCTGTGGCGGTGTCCATCTTGCAGAACGGTTGTGTCTTCGTGGCATGGGGACAGGAGGCGTATTGGTAGGAGGGGGAGCTGGGATCGGCGTTTGGCTTCCACAACGACGTATGTTGTTTGATTCCTTGTGTCTCGGTACGTTGTTCTCGCTGTTGTTGTTCATGGTCGAAGAAAGGGCTTGCATCAGTGTTACGCTTCAGTAAGGTTGGGCTTCGATACAGTCGGGACTACCGAACCATGCAAGGTTGACGAGTCAAGTGCCTTGTTTCCGCCCACGTTGCGCTCGGGACTCGTGTCGCTTACATATCGTTTGCGTGTTTTGTTTATTGCTCGTCGCGTATGTACGAGTACATGTATACTTCATTATCTTCGCTCGGCACGTACATCGAGCTATGCATCTTACCATCCACCGTCGCTCCGTGTCTTGATTTCGTGTCGCTCTCGCCGCCCGGCACGATCGGTAATAAAATACCGACAACAACGAATGTAACCGTTTTTTTTGTTTTTTTGTGTGTGTTTTATGGCTAGCTGGCGTCCATCGAGCGCAGCCTGGCGGAGGTAACGGCCATCCAGAGGCAGCTCGGGATCAGCGTCGACGAGGATGAGGACGAGAAGGACCTCGAAGTGAGATGCTTTTTTATTTATTAAAGGGTTTCTATGACATTTTTGTTTTTTGAAGGGTGTGTGTGGACATCACCGTGATGAACGCTACAATCTCCCAATGTCTGTCAAGGACGATTCCCTCTTTTGACCCTGGCGTTGCGATGGGATGTCTGCTTTTGGTGGAAGAAAAACCGGTTGCATGAGGTTGCTTACATTTTTAAAACCGGGGTTTCTATGCATATGACTTCTTTTTTTTAAATGGGTTTGTGATTTCTGCTCGTGGATGGGGATTCTCGAACGGATGGGTGTTGAATCACCCGTTTATTATGTGTTTCGATCGAGCGAGGAAGCCGACATTGGGGGTGAGCAGTAGGGAGGGCCTCAAAGCTACTCACTGGTCGATCACGTTGGAAAGCGGCGAGATTCCAAGGTGGAGGGACCGCTACGTGGATGTTGCTCTTGGAGTTGCTTGTACGAGGGTGGCAGCAAAAAGAAATGATCGGCAACAACACGACGCTGGTACCGCAGAAGCAGCAGAAGAAAAACCAATAACCACACCACCGCCACCAATACTTGTACCCACGGTTACCACAATCACGCAAGCACCCACCCAGATACCGAACGAATACCTTGATCCACGGAAAAAATGACTTTGCGGCAGGTGACGGACACCGCGTGGAGGGGACAAGCCGGCCTCGACGTCACCGACGCCGCGGACGGTAGCCGGGACTGGTCGGACCTGTCCGCCCGGAAGGGTCTGGCGGTAGGGGACGCGGTTGCACTGACGATGTTCGCCTACGTCGGACGCGCGAGCCACGGGATGGCTTCGTTCGACCTCGGGGTGCTGTTGACGGCTCTCCCCTTCCTTATCGGTGAGAGAGAGAGAGAGAGAGGGAGGGAGGTTGGCTTTCGGTGAGGGGGGGAGAGGGGGAGGGAGAAGAGGTTGTTTTTCGCCTGTCCTAGGTGTGGTGTTTGGTGTCTGTTTGCTGTCCGGTGTTTGTCTGAGTTGAGTGTTTGTAAAGTGGGGGGGGGTATACACACGCACTCTTGTTGTATGCTAGACTTTTGGTGCTGTTGTTCAAGTGTCGACGGAATAAAGCGGTGGCATGATTGTTCGAGCGTACGAAAAGGCCTCCCATCACTACACGCACTTTATCCACCCCCATTTACTACACATAGATGTGCTGGCCAGAAGAAGACATCAAATGCCGTGGAGCGCATGCGCACCTGGCGGTCCCCTCCCGCCCCTCTGGAGCATCACGTTTTGAATGCCGCCCCCTCGTCCCAAACAAAACAAGCATCCTAAGGTTGGAGTCGTCTCTAAAAGGAGAACAGAAAGTTTCGTGGAACGCGGCGATGCCCCTCCTCCTTCTCCTCCTCCTCGTCTCAACAAAGCGGATGCACAAACAACGCGCTCAAAGTATGGCTCCTCCCCCCGCCCACCCCAAATTCCACCCCCCCACCTCCTTTTTTTCCCGTCTAAAACAAAACGGGTGCACAATCAACGCCGTCAAAATTTGACCCCGTGCTCCGTGCCGGCTTTGTAGGGGTGGGAGGTCAATGGTCTAAGGATTACGGCAGGCACGGCTATGGGTCCCCCCCCCCCCCCCCCCTGGGGGTGCGTAGACCACGCATTCACGGTAGGGAGAATCATCCAAGGTAGAAAGAGGGCGGGCAAGCGGACGTACTGCTTCTTCCTGGACGTGAAAAAGGCATACGATACCGTATGGAGAAATGGGCTGTGGAAACAACTGTCCAAGTACGGGATCAAGGGGAAAATGTGGAGGGTGCTGAAGAAGATGACAGAGTGTACGAAAAGCGCGGTCATGCTAGACGGAGAACTGTCTAAATTCTCCGACATTGAGCAAGGGGTCCCACAAGGTTGCACGCTGTCCCCAACATTGTTCCAGGTGTTCATCAACGATCTGTTGGAAGTCGTAGAGGCAGTCCGGAAGGGAGTAAAAGTAGGGGACACGGAAACTTCGGTGTCAGGAATGCTGTTTGCGGATGACTTTGTTGGTATGTCGGACACCCCTGAGGGACTGCAACTGCAAATTGACGCGGCGAAGAAGTTTACTGATAAGTGGAGATTGTCTGCCAACGTTACGAAGAGTGCCGTCATGGTATGCAACGAGGGCAGGGAGGAACCAGTAGAACATAGATGGAAGTGGGGGATCGAGGAGATTGCAGTAGTCGACCAGTACACATACCTCGGAGTAGAGATCGCAAAAGATTGCTCGTGGAATGCACACATGTCCAAGGTAGCGGAAAAGGGCAAAGCACGAGCAGGGAAGCTTCACCCAATACTCGCAAACCGGCACCTTGATACACGCATCAAATTGACGGTTTTGAAGAGCGTAATCGTACCGCCGCTGGAGTACCCCGGAGAAGTATGGGAAGGAAATAAGAAGGTAGTGAAAGAACTCGAGGCGGCGCAGATGAAAGCAGCGAAAATCATCCTAGGATGCTCCAAGCGCACAAGTAATGCAGCAGTCAGGGCAGAATTGGGGATCCAATCCCTACGGTCGGGAAGAGACGTAAGGAAGCTGACATGGCAGTACCGCATGTGCGGGATGGGAGAGGAGAGGTTGCCGAAAATAGTATGGGAGGCGAAGTGGGCAAACAAAAAGAGGGGTAGACAACCCACGGAATGGGTCAAGGTTGTAGAGGACGTATGGAAGGGATTGGACATCAACGAAGATGAAACGCTGGAAACGGAGGGTCTACAGGGGTTCAAGAAGAAGATATCTGTTGCTTGTGCCGACAGAGAAGAACAGAATCTAAGGAAAGAATCCAAGGATAAGGAGGGTCTAGAAGTGTACGGAATGTTGAAAGAAGGAATAGGGTTCAAGGATTACCTACATGGACCAATGGATGCAGGGACAAAGCTTAAGGTCAAATTCAGGACCGGGGACATAGGCCTTCGCGAACGTCGACGAAGACATAGGACGGTAGACGACGAAGACGACAAGTTCAAATGTGATTGCGGCTTCGAATGCGAAGACAGTGTTCATGTAGTCGCGGAATGTCCGTGGTACGAAAAGGAGAGGGAAGTGTACATGACTGAGCTGGGAAGAATACAAGGGACATACAGGGAGATGTTTGAGGCATGGAATAGAGAGGAGAGGACGGTAGCGGTACTGGGGAGTAGGAAGTGGTTTGAAAAGGCGGGAAGTGACATCGGTAGGATAGACAGACTAGGGAAGACATTTTTGAGCCACCTTTGGCAAAGTAGGAAGGAACGATTGGCCATCGGTGATCGGTCCTGTGGGAACAATGCTCCGTCCTCTCGAGGACGCGTGGTCAATGGTCTAACCGCTAAGGCATGCAAAGCATAAGAGTACGCCCCCCCCCCCCCCCCCC